ATTTAACTTTATAATGCTATAACTTATTGAAAAGTTTATGGATCCACACAATTTTTTTATGAGAAATAATATTTTTTAATAAACCCTTTTTCATTCGACATACTTTATCTTAATCGAGATATTAATAAGGAACCAGCAGATCAAGTAGCTTTTGGAATAAAACACCAATTTTTTTAAAATTAAACACTATCTAAAGATTTGCATCGAAGCGTTTATTTTTGATAGTGATTTTAATCACTATCAGATATCATTATACTTGATCCAACTATGTCACGTCACCACTGTGCCGCGACCCCCCTGTGCTGGGTTTTTATTATTTGATTTTAATAATAATTTTTTTTCAATTTTTTTTCTTAAAACTTTTTCAAAAATCAACAAATCAACATAATTTTTTTTTATACTAAAACATTAGATATTTTCTTTTTGTTTGATATCATTTTTTTGAAAATCTAACACTTAACCTGCTCATGGGAGGGATTTAAAATAGCAATTTTTTTACAAAAACTAACTTTTTCAACTTAATTTTTGAAAATGTTCCGGAAATACTGCGTCCTTTAAACATATATCAAATTAAAGCTTTTTTTATGTACTATAAAATGAAAAAAAAAAATTTGTCCCGACACTTTATCTTCTGCATGTAAACGGTTGCCGTAGTTAAAAAAACACTATTTTTGTGTTAAAATTTTCGATTTTCGATTTTTAATTTTCAACTTAAAAATGCTATAACTTTTCGAAAAATGTATGTATCAGCACAATTTTTTTTTTTCTAAATACATTATAAGTACATCTTTCATTTGACATACTTTTTATTAAAATTAGACAATTTCCCCTTATATAGGGGGGGTTCAAACTTTGAAACATTGTATAAAAAATAGAACTTTTTCAACTGAACTTTTGAAAATGTTCCGGAAATACTGCGTCCTTTAAACATATATCAAATTAAAGCTTTTTTTATGTACTATAAAATGAAAAAAAAAAATTTGTCCCGACACTTTATCTTCTATGTGCAAATGGCTGTCGAAATTATAAAAAAAATGTAATATTTGCGATAAAAATCACCTTTTATAACGATGTTTTTTGTACTTAAAACTGCCATAACTTTTTCAAATATTAACTAATCAAAATAATATTTCTTTATATTGAAACCTTAGGTAATTTTCTTTCATTTGATATCATTTTTTTTTGAAAATCTAACACTTATTCTGCTCACAGGGGGGATTTAAAATAGCAACTTTTTTACAAAAACTAACTTTTTCAACTTAATTTTTGAAAATGTTCCGGAAATACTGCGTCCTTTAAACATATATCAAATTAAAGCTTATTTTATATACTATAAAATGAAAAAAAAATTTGTCCCAACGACCTATCTTCTATGCGCAAATGGCTACCGTATTCAAAAATATGCTATTTTTTATTAAAATTCTGGGTTTTGTATTTTATTTTATTTAAAATATCTTATTAGGGGAATACGCTGACTTTCATGAATATTATATAATTTAATTGACATAGAATAAAGTTCATAAGACATATGAAATTAAACTTATTAAAATTTTTTTACTTTTTTAAAGTCGAAAAAGTAATTTTTAAATTTGAGTTAGCTTAAATAGCTAATTTTATCATGCAATAATAGCAACGAACAGTTGACGAATGGGTATCACCTGTGACTATCACGCCTAGGGTACGAGGTTCAAATCTATCCGTGGCTTTTAATATTTTCATTTTTTTTTGAGTTAGAATAGAATTGTCAAATCATTTGATATTTATCTCATTTAGATTCAATAATTTCAATAAATATAAAGGATCTTATCACTATAGTCTCCCCTCGTGAGAAGAAATTTATATTCATGTTAATATTGTTTTACTATGTGGTTCTTTTTGTGACTACGATTTATTTTGCCAACCCTCATTAGACCTACTTTTTTCAACGATACGTCAAATGATTCATTTAAGTTTATGATATTTAAGTTAATGATTAGTTTAAGTTATTACTCTTAAAAATCAAAAAAATATTCCTTATTCAAATAAAAAGTAGCTTAACTAGATTTGTCCATACAAACAATTAAAATCATTAATTTTNCAACTTTATCCATATAAACAATTAAAATCATTAATTTTTAATATTCTTAAAGTATTTACTGTCGAATTAGATTTGATATGATAAAAGTATTCAACTACAAAAGTAAATAATTTTACTTTATAATTTATTAATTTTTTAACTCTATTTCTGTGTGCTACTACCAGTCTATAATATGCCAAATTTTTTTGTAATATGTTGCTATATAAATCATAAATTAAAAAAAAAAAATGATTTTTAGTTTCACCTGAATTTAATGATGGATTTTTACAATTATAATTATATTTTATAATACGCTCAATTGAGTAAATCTTTTTAACTACTTTGGTTTGATTGGTTCATTTAATTAAAGTAAATTATTAAAATTAATTAAGTTCTGAATATTTCAATTGCAGAATTTTTTTAAACACCAAAAGTTATTAGGATATGATTACTATTCTTTCTATTTCAGTTATCTATTACGATAAAAATGTAAAAAAATCGAATTTTTCTGACAAATGTNTGGTTCATTTAGTTAAAGTAAATTATTAAAATTAATTAAGTTCTCAATATTTCAATTGCAGAATCTTTTTAAACACCAAAAGTTATTAGGGAATGATTACTATTCTTTTTATTTCAGTTATCTATTACGATAAAAATGCAAAAAAATCGAATTTGTCTGATAAATGTACTGTAAATAGTAATTATAAAATTTCCTGATTGCATATTAATCTTAAAAATTTCATTTTTTTCTATTTAATAATGTCAATTTCAAACTTGCAAGTTGAACTATAAGTTATGGTAACAAATTCATTTTTTAGCTTCGATCCAAAGCTGAGAAGGTATTTTTCATTAAAACTTTCACTTTAAAAGACAATAAAAAGTAGGTTCAAAATGATTACTTTTAACACATTAAAAATCAAAATCAGTATTAATTTAATACAATTTTTTTTGTTCTTAATTATTTTTTTTTATATGTAAATACTTATTTTTTAATAATAAGTAATAATATTAAAACTTAGAAGTAATAGAAAAAGTTTAATTGCACATTTGAAAACATCACGAAAAGTTTATTTAGAAAAGTATATTTTTTTTCTGATGAAAGTTCCTTTTGTTTAGTGTATTTATTCATTAGTAACAAAATTTTTTTATTAAAAAGTATTGCATAAATTCCTTTAAATTTGTATACGCATTAAAAGTATATGAATATACAACTCCTTTTTATTTTTATAATATCTCCGTAAAAATTACAATATTATATTATTGAATACCACTTTCATACTCAATTTAATTACTGTAATTATTATGTATTCATATATTATAGTTATAAATCGGGGTAAAATTAAGGGAATAAGTGTTATTGTTGTTTTTGAAATAATCTACCAATTTCATTTTTTTCTATTTAATAATATTTATTTCAAACTTGCAAGTTGAGTTAAAAGTTATGGTAATAAATCATTTTTTTTTTATTTAAAACTTTCACTTTAAAGGACAAAAAGAAGTAGGTTCAAAATGATTACTTTTAACATATTAAAAATCGATAATAATTTGAAAATAATTAATTATAAAAATTATATAATATATAATTAAAATAATTACTAATCTGGATATAATTAAGGAAATAGGAGTTGATGTTGGGTTGGGTTGGTTACATTTTTAACTTTATAATGCTATAACTCATTGAAAAGTGTATGAATCAACACAATTTTTTTATGAGAAATAATATTTTTTAATAATCCATTTTTCATTCGACATACTATATCTTAATCAGGTTATTATTAAGGAACTAGCAGATCATGTAGCTTTTGTAATTATCCACCAATTTCTTAGAATTAAACACTATCTACAGATTTGCATCGAAGCGTTTCTTATGATAGTGATTTTAATCACTGTCAGATTAAATCTATACTGGACCCAACTATGCAACGTCAATACTATGCCGCGACCCCACTATGCTAGGTTTTGTTTTTATATAGAATTAATTATTTATTATATCAAATAAATTTTATGGCATTTTGGGTTTTATAAAATTCAGGGGCATAGTTATCAGGTTGGTAGAGGGAATGAAGGCTTTGCTTTTATGAATCTATAAGTCTTACATTATATTTACACGCTTAAGATTTAGAGATTGTACAGATCATAGGACATACATAGTATGCTCTCATTATGCTACTATTTCAAAATAAAATACAATTAATTTGATGTATATGAGTGTTACAATTTGTCTCCCGTTGTATTTGAACTTATTCTGTCAATAATGTTATTACTAAAATAATTAATAGATACATGGATATTTTTTTTATTAGTCTATTGTTTTAAAAATACTTTATTGTGTATATATCATTAAAACATTTCTTTTCACTTCACAATACTTTTGAATAAATAATTGAGGAAGTATTTATTTTTACGGAAATAGTTTAATAAGTTATCACCCCAAAAGTGTTGTGTTCAACATTACGATAAAAGTTTTATACTTTTAATAGATGGTCGTTGATATGTCGTCTTGGTGACGAATTTTAAACAAAGTCATTATACCGACAAAAACGCATGAAAATACAATGAAAACAATATTTTATTAAGATCAATAAATGATGAAACGTTTATGTAAAGAACAAACTGAATAAGTTTGTTTAGAAATGATTGTGCCATACAAGAAGTCAGATGTTCCTTTTTTTACAATAATTTTTTAATGTTTAAGTTTAATTAATTTATGTTTAATTTTGTAGTATGTTGGGGTTTTTTTTAGATATATGAAAAAATTTAAGTGGTGAGTCAACAAAGAAACATAATCTTTAATAATTTAAAAATATAAAATTTAGTATTTTTATACGTAATATTTATATATTTTTTTCATGCTACACTAAGGCACCTTTTTTATTAAGACGACTATAAATCTTGATAAATAAAAATTAACGTTACGATTAAATATACGAGTAAATAAATACACAAAATATACTAATTAATTAGTATAAAAAATGCACATTTTATTTTAATTTGATACTATAAATAAATTTTTCACTTAATTTCAACATTTTATATATTTGTTTCTAAAGTATTACTATTATTTTATAATTACAATATAATGTTAATCATATTAATATTAAATATAGTATTGTATATTTGTGAAAAACAAGGACAAAAATTGAGCGATTTAGCTCATTAATAAAAGTATTTAAAATTAATAGGTTTCATTCTAATAAAATTATCACCAAATCAATTTTAAATAAACACATCTACAAATGGCCAAAAACATAAAATGTGATTTAACAGTCGAAAACCAATTAATAAAGACTATGCCAGCAAAAATTTTCGGTGAAGAATTAAACGATAAAAAGGCTAGAGCAAAACTTGGGTGGACTCAAAAACATTCTAGTTTCAATAAAAAAGAAACCGAAACTATTTGTGATAATGCGTATCAACATCGAACAAGTAGTAAACTTTTAAAAAATGAAAAAAAAGGTAGGCCAACGGCAAATCCGACCACAGTTTGCCTGAAACCTGAAACCAATTATGATTGTAAAGAAGGATTTGCTCAAAGACTAAGGCAAGCATGGATTGATCGAGAAAAATCAAAATCTTGTATAAATATCTATTTAGCTAGAAACGTCATAGAAAATCCTTCTATGGAAATATATAATGATAATCAAAATTCATCAAATGATGATCAAGAATGCGATTCTAATCGTACTTCTATTGAAGTAAAAATTCAAAGTCAAGTTGGTGAAAGTGAAAACTCTTGTGACTCTTGTGAAGAAGATAAAACTCAGTCAGCAGCAGTGAGACGTGTTAAATTTTACAATAGCTTTAAGAAAAATGACGATAATAATTCCATAACAAGAGTTATGTCAGCTCCTTCGTCAAGAAATCAAAAAGTGCATATTGCTAAAAAACAACGGTTAATAGGTTTGCGAAGACAATCACAAGAAATAAATAGGCCTTCAGCTAGAAAACTGAAATCATGTCGAAGTAAAGCATTCCATAAGAGTATAGACGAAGAGACTCAACAACTGAATAAACATCGATCAATAAAAAAACATCAAAATACAGAAGTAATAACAATGATGTCACTTTTAAGTCCTGTTGGTAGCGATGTTGAAGAAAGATTTCCAAATGAAATACCTGCAAAAATGGGTAAGAAAACATTTCATAAGCTTTTTGATTAAAATACTACACTTATTATTACTTAGAAGTAAAAATAAAATATGCAAAGCAAATGAATTTCAAAGATTATAAGCTTTAGTTTCAGTTTTAAAAAAAATTAGTTATCTTTTGTGATAAGTAAACTAACTATATTAACACTATCTTGAATATAAATTTAATTTTAAATAATAAATAGTTCATTATTCACATAAAATTATTATCAACTATTAAAATCTTTTAACTATTTAGAATAACTTTCGCTTACGTTAGCATGTAAGAACTTTTTAATTACTTAGAAGCGAAACTTTTAATAGCTACGTGCAACAATATAATTTGTGGTTTCAATATTTTTATGAATAGATTATTTACTCGAAATTAAAGTTTATTATATGATGTATTATTTTATTTGACGAATATTTTTTTAGTTACATTTCCTCAATTCAGCTATAATATGCGATATCATCAAAAATCTTTTGACAGTGTGGTACAATCAATTGAACAACCTAAGCTTCTTACTAATCGCGTGGGAAAATCATTAATAAAATACAAAACGCTTGATTTAACAAGGTATTATAATTAAGTAGTACATTTTAAAATTTATGTTTATTTTATTTTATTATTTCAAAGCTTTAATTTATAATTTAACTATTATATATTTAAGTTCATTTTTTTATAGAATTTTACCTCTTTGATTTACGTTTTTTTAAACAGTTTTTCATTTAAACATATACTTTGTAAAATAGATCTAAAATTAGAAAGAATTTATGAGTACTTTCCAACAAAGTTAATATTAAAAAAATAATTATAGTGCAAAACCAATGTTCCCTATTTTATTCTTTTATTAAAACAAAAAAATCAATGTTAATAAAGTATTTAAAAATTTTCTATCTGAACGAAAATTAAATTGAAACGAGAGCAGCATTTTGTTCATATGTGTGAGCTATGTTGCAAACCTCAATATGCCAGGCGCACATTTGATATCAATTACCAATTACGTAATAAAAAAAAAAAAAAAAAAGGAGAGAGACCTAGGTGGGACGGGTTTACTTTGAATTCATTTTGGTCTTGGTCTAGCTTCTAATTTGAATGTGATCATTTTTAATTTTAATGTACAACTAAAATTCCAATAATTCATTTAAAATGTTAGGCTTCAAAAATGGATGTGATCAACTGTATAGAATAATGTTGAATTATAACAGTATTTTTACGCTGTTCGAACTGATATTTACTCTTTTGTAATTCATTATATTCGCAACAACCGTCTAGCTGAACCTCTAATTCTTCATCCTCTAAATTTAATAAGGGGCCAGATTAAAAAGAAATTTTGCTATACATTTAAATGAATTATAAGATTATCTTATAATTTATTGTTAATCAACATTTCTACGTTGAACAATTTTTACGTTTAACGTTTTTAATATTAAAATATTTATATATGTTGACAAAAATTTTCATTTTTAAGTTATAATTATAACTACAACGTTTTTCTGACCTGTATTCAATAATTCAAAAATACAATTTGAACAATTTATCGTCATCAAAATATCTGAACATTTTTAAAATTTATTTCAAACTTATGTTTATTTATAGTAATACAAATAAATATTCTTATCATTTTTAATTCTATTTAATTTATTTTATTTTATTTGCATGTTAATTATTTCTATCATAGATTTAAATCACAACTCCAAAGTGGAGTTGTGATTTTTCAGTGAGTTAAAGTAACTCACTGAAAAATTTATAAAAATACATTTTTTCTTAAAATTTTGAAAAGTCTTCTTCGGTCAATCTTCCCTTCATCATATATTTATTTATGATTATACTTATAATAAATGCATTCATTAACCAAATTAAGTTTTACAACCTTATTTGGTAACTAATCAAAATATTTTTTATGACATGACCTACATTATTACATTATATATTGGTAAATATTAGCTATCACGGTTAAATATTTCAATTTATTGAAAATTACAAAAGTTGTTCTATGTATGATTTTGCTGCATGCAAACATGAAAATAGTTAAAGTAACCTTTTAAAAGTATTTAAGGGATGGTTTTATTTAGTTTAATATATAACAAAGAAAAAGCCTTTATTATATGTAAAACATGCAAAATAACTAAACGGTTTGGAATAATCAAATTTAAATGTATTTTCATATTTTAGTAGTATATTTATAATTTTACCATTGATTTGCAAACAAAATGCAAATTGATACGATATTATACTCTTTTATGTAGTTCATGTCAAAGCACATTTTATATAATATTTCGCGTGACAATATCAATGATTTTGATTTTTAGAAATGAAGGAAATACAACAATTCAAGAAGAAAAAGGAACCTTGCATCATGAAATAAATAATGACGAAAGTCACAATGAAAATATTGTATCTGAAGTACTCACGAATAATTATGAAGTTATCGATGGTCAACCTTTGTTCAAAACCGCCAAAGAAAAAGAGTGTTGGACCCTTTTCAAGAAAATGACAGACAAGGGAATTTCTGTAACTTTTGATACGGTTCTAAGGTAAATTATTTTAATATTTTTTTTAACAAATGTAACGAGTAAATGAATGTAAGTTTATATTTGATTTAATCGTATTTTTTTAGAGGGATGCTGACCCCCACCGAATACAGATTAAGAAAAAACGAACTGTTATCGTATGGCTAAGTAAAGTGTTATGCAGTTTTAAACAAAATGCAGTATCTTGGCTGTTTTGCTAACGCTTGCGTCTATTTAGACTTAACCTGATAATTAATAGCTTAGGGCCTATTGTTTTTAACACGATTTATGACTATGGCCAAAATAATAGTTGCTGTTGTAACATAGTACATACTCTAAGTAGGCCCTAGTGAAATGACTGTTTAATCATTTCAAAGACAATGAGAAAAGTCTTAAAAAATAAAAACACATTTAAAGAACGGTGTACCCGCTGATCAAATTCATAAACCTCTAATTCGCTTATACTCTCATATGTAGACTGACTCAATGAATACAATAATATACATGCAGTGAGAGCCTATGCGTTTCGACTTGTAATGTTTGCGCTGCACTACACTGTGTTTCAATAAAAATGATCGGAGCGGCAATGGAGGGAGCACAGTAGAAATACGTTAGATGGCCTGGCCGGGCAACAGCACCGACAGAAGTGGCAGACCCGAACCAAACGTCGAACGACTTGATTGGCGAGTTGTTTCTTAGTGTATAGAAATAGAAATAATTGTATTGTTTAAAACCGTTTGTGTTTGATTTTTGTGAATTGCGTTTATTTGATGATTCATTTTCAATAAATATTATATTTTAACAATACTTAGTAGTTGTATAATTTTTATTGGAAAAAATATTTTAACGGCTAATTTACGTGAACAATTTACTGGAGTGTACCTGCTGTCTGTGATTACATATGTGATAAGTGTTCGGCGGTATGTGACGATACGCCGTGTGTATAAAGTTATTCGCGCTTGAAAATTATGACCGTTTCATATTCAAGACTTGTAGCCAATGGAAGTAGTTTTGGATGTTTTGGAAGCATACTTTGCAAGTAAGTGAATAGTTAAAATTTTTACATAGTGTTTCATCACTATCTATAAATCACTATCACTATCACTAAATATCGCCCTGTAAGTTGCATTAAACTAAATAGAATGTAGAATATTTTAAACTATTGAAGTATTATTTCCAAAGTGTTATAACAATCATGATTTCAAAATATAAGTTTTCGTGATTTTATTCATTTTCATTCACTAAAACTTTTTTTAAAAATGGTTCAATATTCATAAATTCTATGATATTACTATTTTATTAAGGTTTATAATAGTAATGAATAAAAATCATAATACTCATTTAGAAATAATTACTAGCTCCATGAACATTATTAAAATATAATTAACTGCTTGACTGCAGACACCCCTGACACACTTATGTATTTAATATTATATTACATTTATCCCTATTAAAAATAAAAATAATATTTTTAAGGTGTTGCGTAATTTAAATAGTTAAATTTGGCAAATTGGTTTAGTTGCTTATAAACGTTTAGGGTTATGATATTGATTAGTTTGTTAATATGTGATTATTATACAGTTTTAATGATCTTGCAATGTAATTATTATTATTAAGCAAAACATACATAGTATAATAAACAGGTCTATATTTAAAGCTCCGGGCAGTGATTCTGCAAGAAATGAAAAGATCCTTTTTTTGTTACGTAAATTTTAATTTACAGGAAATATTAATAGTCTTTAAAATTGAAAATAGCTAATAGATACAAATTACGCGTATCGAGGTTACTATGTTACAGATTACAAATCATTTGATATGACTTATCATTATTTTAAAAAAAGCGACAAGATTTGCCGTAAATACATTTTCCTAGTTTTACCAAAACGTTAATTAAAATTAATTAATTTTGAATTGAATTTAATAGTTGTATGATTTAGTTGTTAACAAACTTATAGACTTTTAAGCGGTCTTTCATATTTGACTTGCCCCTAAGCATTTAATTAGCAAGAGTGAATAATTATAATTATATTTTACAAAAAGAACATAATAGCCTAGAGTTATGTGTGGCAGTTGCCCTTCAGATTTGGACAAATTAAAATGCTATGATTGGCAGTTGCTCATAGATTTCTTTGGAAACAATGTCCTTATACTTGCGACAAATATTGAAACTATAATTTGTTTTATGACGAACGCGAGTGTAAAATATTAAACGATTTTCTATTAAGTGTATACGTCATATGATTTTATTTTTATAGATATTTTGAAGGTTTTTTTAATATTTATTTCAATTTTGACCCGAAATTATTTAGAAACTTTTGAAAGTCGACATAATACATTTATTTAAATTTCAACATATTTTTTTCGGGAGTCTTAAAAACACAATTAAGGTTGCATAATAAATTTTAATAGGTAATTGGACTTTTTTTAAACTGAATGAGAATTACTATACCGTGTTTTTATTGTAAGTATTGTATTTGTTGGTGATGAAACATCTAGATCCGTATCAACATTACGAAGCTTTTTACTAAATTTTCTAAAATAAATTTGATTTTAACACACGCATCTGTCCTCGTAAGAGATAAAGAACATTAGATACCTATTGTTTCAACGATGAAACCTATGTTTATCTATACGCATAAATTATTTGATACATACAATAAAAATTTTAATCGTGGTTAATTATGAACGAATGCATTTATTTGTCGAGGTCGAAGTTAAAAGAAAAGAAAACCTCAGAATTTAGTTGGGTATGTTTTTGTCTCACCATATTTGATATCCAGTATATATCCTTTATCCACTAGTTTACATGCTGCCATAATTTACAAGAACTTTGTAGGTCCAATTAGAACATTTTAATAGACACTAACAACCCAACGTCAAAACTAAGCATCATTACCATAGGAAATAGTCTTGACACAATTATTAGATTTCTAGACACGCACATCATACAAACAAAATGAACGCTCTTTCGCAGCTTTTATGTATATGATCTTAAAACACAATGGTAATATTGTTTAAAGTAATTAAGTGTTCAATTTTTTTTACTTGCTTGTCAATAGACACGCGTTACTTGTACTGCTACTATATTATTTGACACAAACTGACATCATTTATACCTTTGAAAACGTCTGTCGTAAGCTTTCGAGAATTTAGTATGCATCCATCGCTTTGACCGCAAATCATGAAACACATTCCAATGAGATGTTTACGTCTGTGTCATATTATATTATCGTACCTTTTTTTTGTTGGCTCGGATGAGACGTTTGTTCACAATTCATAAATAAAAGTTAATATATCACGTGGGTACACTATAAACTGCAAATATTGTAACTGAAAATGTCGAAATATATTAAAATTCATTGCTTCTTTTAAATAAGTAATTTAAAAATTATCATTATTTTATAATTAGTAACAATAATGTTAAATAATAATGTTTACGTTAAATCATAATTTTTATTAAAAACATTAATTTAGGAAATTTTTATCTTAAATAAAATAAAAATTCTAAATACTTTTTACGAACACAAGAGATAAATACTATTTTTATAAAATTTAATACGAATATTTGTTTTTCTCTGTTTATGTTGTTACGCCATGGTCTTTTAAGCATTTTAATAACATAATTTAGATTTTTAAGATCCAGGTTGATTATTTACATGACTCACACAATATCTTTAAAGGAGTGGCGTTCAAGAATTTTTAAATTTAGGAGAAGAGTAAAACCAAAAACAAAAATGTTAGGGACTTATTTTAGATGATTTTTTATGAAGCTATTTCCTAGTATTTTTCTTCAAATTATGACGAGTATTATCAGAGCTCAATCGAGCAACTCAAATTGATAATTAGTCTATGATGTATGCATCTTTCGAATTTGTATCACATGCTGAGATTTTTAAAGGTACTTAAAACAGCTAAGGTATTGATAGCTAATTCGGCTCCTTTAATTTAATCTGAATGTCTTTATGCTTTAGCTCAGTCTATTTATTATCTAATTTATCTCTTTCTTTTAATATTTTTCGTTTTTTAAGGAAAAATAGTTTTGTACTCTGGTTTTTAAATCAAGTATAGTCGTAGTTTTGAGATAAATTATCGTTTCATCACTAAGTTTGTGCAATTTCGAAACTATTTAAGAAACTTTTAGAGTTGACATTGTCATATCTATTTGTTAGTATAACTATTGACTAACAACTTCTTAGTATATTTTCTAATTTACTAGAGATAGTGTAAAAAGGTGGGGTTGATGTCATTTATACTGATTCGTGGAAGGATTTTGACTCTGTAGATCACAGCCTTTTGATTGATTAAATAAGTATTATATTTACTACGCTTGTTTGAGTCTTTTCTGTCTGTTAAAAAACAAGTTAAATCTGTGGGCATATTTTATTATTATTACATTTAATATTTATTAACAATAAAAAAAATTGATTTCTCACTCTACATTTTCATTATTTATGATTGATTTACAAATATATCTGCCTATATGTTCGAAATTCTTGAACTGATTAGCTGACAGCATCATTTTTACCATATCGAAAATTACAGTTCACGAGTCATTCACTAAAGTGGAATCATATGGTTTTAATGAACCATTCAGTCAAATGCTCGAAGTTGCAAAGTATTCATATAGATTTGATGATTGTGATCATGATGATGAGTCTAAATTTCGTTATAAAAGTTTTTTCTGTTAACTAAAATCATCGTTTTTGTAATGAATGTGCAGTTGTATTATTAAAATAAAATTAAATGTTCATAATTTTTCACAGAAAAAATTCTAATTATTTATATTAATATTTTGTACTTAAAAAAAATGTGTCCTATAATTATTATCAACTTTTATTGTAATGTGTACTAATAAAATTTTTTTTTCTTAATAAGAAAAGAAATACAATATTTGTATTAGTAACGGCGCAAGCTTTTGTGGAGTCCTAGTCAATAAAATTACAACTTATACATATTATAACTTACTATTATTTAATAATTTTATAATTTCAGTACCGTGAGGCCTTGAATATAAATTTGAACGATTTGCTCCTGATTTGTATAGTTCATAATAATATAGATTTTATATAACTCAGTTATCTCTATAAATTACATAGAATTTTTATTCCGAACATTTTGAAAATAAATGTCAATATTGTAGGTATGTATTTCTCAAAAATTGAAAAATGTGTAATTACGAGGTTTTGCCATTGAGATAACAATATGTTTAAACTGGTTACAATAAATTGTTTTGGTTATAAATAATAATTTAGAATACAAACAATTTTATTGATCCTGGAAATCGTTAGTAAATTGATAAAATTAATATAAATTGTGTAAATAGCTGTTTAAGAATTTTTTGTCAGTATAAACAACATATAATGGTGACGAAATGATACTATAAATTTAATTTGTAAATATTTTTAAATACTATCCAACTTCCATTTTCTTTTTGCGATATTATTGAAATATAATTATGACTTTTGGGTAATTTACATATTTTCATGATCTTAATTTAAAGAAAATGAACTAAATACTTAACTGTTGTGCATTGCTTTAGTCTGTGGTAATGTTTTTTTTATTCTTAATAAAAAAAAGACTATATTTTTTATTTATTTAATTTAATTTTCCTATTTTTAAATTTGAAAATCTCGATGTGTAGTTTTGATTAAATAAAATCACTATAGGGCGGTGTCCTATCGTGTATAGACCGGTTGCATAGTAGAATATGACCGGTTTTTAGTATAAATGCGGTTATCCTTTGTAAAATGCATATTATGACCATGTATAATGATAATACCGAGGTCAATACTCCACGTGTTTTTTGTGAGTATAATTTAAAGTATGGTTATTCGAACTATCATTTTTTAACTAACTCAAATTTTGATTGGATCAATATCTTTAAAATAAAAATACAAATCAACATATTCATAACACGGAAGTTTAACTTATCGTATTTTATATACTATATTTTGTGAATTAAATGCATTTAATCATTATGCTAATTCAAATACAGAACAAACTGTTATTAATTTATTTGAAACTTAGTAAAACTTTTTT